CCCCCCCCCCCCCCCCCCGGCAGCTGTCCACTAGGTGTCCTCTGGACAAGAGCTTGTGATTAGGGACCAGGAGAGGGCTGTATACCCAGTGGCTATTAAGAGAAGCCACAGAATAGAATAGCCTTAAAATATGCATTCCCTGGCCCCCACCAGGAAATTACTCCTGCAAAAAATGAAACATACTGTTTAACCCTGATGAAAGTATGAATAGAAAATAGTTCAGAAGTAAATAAAGGGGGGGGGGTTTCCCTCCTTTTTAACTATCAGAGAGTGCTACCACTTAAGAGACCAGGTTTGTGCGCTAATTAGAAGAATGAGTGTTTTCAGTATTCAAAACTCTTAAGCAGGCTTTTGGTTCTCTCATACAAGCTTTTATATAAGATCATATTTAAGAAGAACCAGCAAACTCATTTTACTGTACTCCTGTCAAAACCAAAACAAAACAGAGGAAGCTATTCTCAATTTCAGCAGAAATTCAGAAACTGCACGCTTTAGGATGTTGTGCCCCACTCACTGAAGGCTGACACAGTTCAGTACTTTTTTGATACATGGACCACCTCATACTTTGCATAGTGACCACCACAGCTTAAGGTGATGCTCCCATTAGTACCACTAAAACACAAGTAAAACCATTAAAAAAAATAAATAAAAAAAGAGAGCAGGACACACACATGCTCACCACCCCCCTAGTCTCTATGGGGCTTCAGAGTTTAACACACATCTGTGATCTTACAACCCCTTGAACCAAAGGGACTCCAGTTGCGTGCCCCTCCAAGAATCTCCTGGTATTCAGCATAGAGAAAACTGCTACTGAAAGGAGAGCTCTGGAGAAAACCCTACCAGGTTTCTATTTGTATGATTTTCATGTCAGCAAGGTTTTATTTTGTAACATGCCTAACATGAGAGGAAAATAACAGTAAGGCATAAGAATAAATAGCTTTCTCACAAGGTTCCAGGAGATATCTTTTTTTAAAGGAGAGGAAGACAAAAGAGAATGACTCGCTAGATGGAAGCGCTGGTCACTCCAGCAGGTTTTGGACACAGAGTGAAAAGTTCCTGGTGAAGTCAGTAGACCTACTCCACGCCCACACAGCTGCGGCGCTAGAGACATATAAAGTATTTGTAGTTCATAAGACAGTGTTATTAAGTTCTCTGAAATCTGGTAAAGTGCCAGAAATATTTATACCATTAGAAACACTTTTCATCAGTTTATTCCCAGATTCCAGGGGCCACTACTTACACAAACAAGCAACAGATTAATTGTCCCATGACTTCAGTTCCCTTTTAAATTCCTCTCCTACAAGATTCACATAGCTGTCCTAACATTTGACAGCTGAGATTGTCTTCACTTCCCCTGTGACTACATAAAATATTTCATCAGTACAGTTTTGTTACTGTCTTTGCTTTGAGGTCTTTTATTAAGTAATAGGCAAGAAGAGGCAGAGGGTTGGCTCTGAAAAGCACAACCACACTTTGGACTTATCATACAATGATATGACAACATTAGAATACAGAGACAGTAACACTGCAAAACCATCATTCATTTCATCAAATTGTTAACTCTACTGGAATAGCAGGGTCCTAACATCTGGAGGGGAGAGAGATGAAAGGCAGGCACCAGGCTGGTGCAGTGGGACAAAATTTCAAGTTTTAAGTGTCTGGGTAATCATCTCAGTTACTTTATGGTAAACAACCTTGAATTAAATTTAAGATTTTCAAAGAAGCCAATACAGATCCAGGTCGTTTATACTTGTTAGAAGTCACATGGTTAAAAATAAATACCCAAAATAAAACACCTGTAAAGATTTAAACACATAGCAAACCATACAAGTACACATTCAGAAAAGCAACCAGCCTAGTAGCATGAAGGCAACAGCAGCAGGCCAAGGCTGAACTCACAAAAGACTTACTAGCTTCAATCAGCAGAAAGCAATGGCTATGCTGGCTTTTGTTACTTCACACTTGCCTGCTTGGCAGAAAGCAGGTGAATGCAGCTTTTCAGCAGCAGCAGCTCTTTTAGAGGAGGACTTTTAAGAACCATGATAATATAGCTTCCATTTCTACCTACGAAAACATAGCAAAGATTACTGTACAATCCAAATGAGGGGAAAAACTGAAAAATGAAGTTTTCACAAGTCTCCCTTCCTGCATCATCTTACTGAAAAATTTAATTCTTGTTTTCAGAATAAAACACCTGCCACACCTTTGGTGTATGCTTACATACGTGTTCATAAAAGCAGTCAGAAAAAAGCTCAGCAAGAAGGGATCCCCCCCTCCTTTCCATTAGGCAACAAAATCTGCATGTGAAAAGCAGCCCCCACTGTAACAAAGCCCTACTTGTTGCTGCACCTGCATACCTGTCACATCTTCTAAGGCAGTATTCAAGCTTTTTGTGTTCACATGCAAGCAAGCCTCAACCACAGAAATAGTTCTGAGTGCAGCACCTTGCCACCCAAACAATGGGGAACATCAGATATTAAGAAATAAATCCCAATTGTATAAATCAAAAATTAACTGTTTGAAAAGGCTTTGGATGTACATCTTCAGTTAAGAACTAGAAGGGAGATCAACACATTCTAAACCAAAAGGTGTATCCTACCTTAGTTACTTGTACTGAGAAGTAAGAAACACTGCAGTCCCACTACCACCATGCCTAGAGAATAAGGCTGGATAGACAGACAGGTACCTACAAACCCCTCTTCAGATGTCAAGAGCTTTTATCTGCTGACAGACTGAGTCACTCTAGACAGAAAAGTTCAAGTATGTGAAGAATAACTTGTCAATAAAAGCATCACCTGTCAAATTACACAAAGGAAGAAATGAAAACCTGCTTATACTAGAAAAGCCACCAAAAAAAAAATTGCCATGACATTGTTGCTGTAAAGCATACTTTTTAAATGCTCTTCATCTTAGAGAACCTAGGGGACCTTATGGAGTTAAACAATCAGATTTTCACTATACCATTACTCTTGTTCTTTTAATAAAATAAGTTAAACCAATGACACCTATCACATTCTAAACTGTTGCTGATTCCTAGCAACTGCTTCTACTACTTCCGCCAGTTTTTATATTCTAGGTAACTCCATGAATAAGCTACATTTTCACCTGAAACAAAGAGTCAGGAATGTTCATCCTGCTCCTTTATGCTGACTAGCATATTGAGCGGTTTGCAAGACTAACACAGAAAAGAAAAAAAGTAAAAACACTCACCCCTCCCTTCATGGTGTTAACATTATTCAACATTACCTTAAGTGACATACAAACCAACTTCAAATGGGTAAGCCTTGCTGTGAACAGTGAAGTCAATGCCAGTAGGATTACACTTCTCTAAACAATAATTCAGACACAGGACAAAAGCTAAAAATGGATGTGTGAACATGACCAGAGGGAACACGGATGCACAAAGGACAAGAGAAACCCTGGTAAGAGTATGTAATAGAAGAGTACTTGCTCACAAGCAGTGAAGCCATTAAAATACAGTATTAGTTGAGAAGATACTCAACAATTCCCACAGATTAGCTTTCATTATTTTCTCCTTAACCTAGACTTAACTTTTTTTAATATCTGTTAAGATATACTGGGCCCTATGACTCTGTACAAATTACTAAATACATTAAACGAGATTTTAATAGTTAGGAATGTTAAGTCTTTTAACTGTCCAG